TGAATTCATGACCTTCATTATCTAACCCCAATGTACTTTTTAAGAGAAAATTGACCAGGTACTTATTCATTATCCAGTCTCTTCTAGGTACTGTACAATACATTATGTTTCAAGGATTATATTAATCCTTAGAATAACTGAGTTTTGAAAGTGAAGGGATGGAAAAAATATTTTCAAATGGAAAACAAAAGAAAGCTGGGGTAACTATGCTTATATCAGACAAAATAGACTTCAAGAAAAAGGCTGTAATAAGAGAAAAAAGAATGTCATTGTATAATAATAAAGCAGTCACTCCAACAAGAGGATATAACATTTGTTAATACTTATGCACTAAACATAGGAGCAGCTAAATATATAAACCAAATATTAACAGACCTGAAAGGAAAAATAGAAATACAGTAATAGTAGGAGACTTCAGTACCCCACTTTCATCAACGAATAGATTATCCAAACAGAAAATCAATAAGAAAACATTGAATTTAAATGACACTTTACACCAGATGGACTCAGCAGACACTTACAGAACTTTCCTTCCAAAAGCTGCAGATACACATTCTTCTCAAACACATTTGGTCCATTCTCCATTATATATATCATGACATATCATTATATAGAATAGATCATATATTAGACCACAGCACAAATTTTAATAAATTTAATTAGATTGAAATCCTATCAAGCCTCTTTTCTATCCATAATGGTATGAAAGTAGAAATCAATTACAAGAAGAAAACTGGAAAAATCACAAATATGTGGAAAGTCAACAACATGCTGCTGAACAACCAATGGGTGAAAGAAGAAATCAAAAGCAAAATCAAGAAATATCTTGGGAAAAATGGAAATATAGCATACTAAAACTTATGAGATGAAGCAAAAGCAATCCAAGAGGGAAGTTCATAGCAATTAATGCCTACAACTTTAGGCCATAACTAAACTTTATACCTCAAGGAACTAAAATGAACAAATTAAACCCATAGTTATTAGAAGGAAGGAGATAAACAGAGCAGAAATAAAGGAAATAGAGACTAAAAAGACAACAGAAAATATCAATGACATTAAGAGCTGATACTTTGAAAAGATTTAAAAAATTAGATTCACCAAAAAAAAAAAAAAATGAAAAGAGCACTCAACTAAATAAAATTATTTATAAAAGAGGAAACATTAGAACTGAATGCTACAGAAATACAAAGATCATAAGAGACTACTGTGATTAATTGTACGCCAACAAATTGGACAACCTACCAGACATGGGTAAATTTCTAGAAACATAACCTACCATGACTTAATTATGAAATAGAAAATCTGAGCAGATCAATTAGTAGGGAGATTGAATCAGTAATTTGAAACCTTCCAACAGGTCAATGACCATATGGCTTCACTATTGAATTTTTGAAACAATTAAAGAAGAATTAATGCCAATCCTCAGACTCTTCCAAAAAAATAGAAGAGGAGGGAACACTCCCAAACTCATTTTATAAGAGCAGCATTACCCTGATACCAAAACCAGAGAAGAAAACTACAAGAAAAGAAAAATACAGGTCAATATCCCTAATGAATATAGATGCAAAAATTGTCAACAGAGTATTAGCAAACTGAATACAACTGTACATTAAAAGGACCATGATGAAGTGGGATTTTTTTTCCCAGGGTTCCAGTGATGATTTAACATCCACAGATCAAATGGTGTGATAGACCACAGTAACAAAATAAAGGATAAAAAATTATATAATCCTCTCAACAGATGCAGAAAAAGCATTTGACAAAATTTAACATCCATTCATGATGAAAACTCTCAACAACATGGATATAGAAGGAATGTACCTGAATATAATAACATATGACAAGCCCACAGTTAACATCATACTCAATGGTGAAAAACTGAAAGCTTTCTCTCTAAGATCAGGAACAAATCAAGGACGCCTACTCTCACCACTTTTATTCAATATAGTACTGGAAGTCCTAGCCAAAGCAATTAGGCAAGAAAAAAATAAAAATAAAAGTCACCCAAATCAGAAAAGAAATAAAACTGTCTATTTGTAGATGACATGCTATTAGATATAATAAACCCTAAAGACTTCACACACACACACAAAAGTTAGAACAAAGAAACAAATTAGTAAAGTTGCAGGATACAAAATCAGTATTTAAAAATCAGTTGCATTTCTATACACCAATAATGAACTGTCAGAGAAATTAAGAAAACAATCTCATTTATAATTGCATCAAGAATAATAAAATACCTAGGAATAAAGTTAACCAAGGAAGTGAAAATCCTATACACTGAAAACTTTAAGACATTGATGAAAAAATTAAAGACACAAATAAATAGAAAGATATTTCATGGTCATGGATTGAAATAATTAATATTGTTACAATGTCCTTATTGCCCAAAGCAATCTACATATTCAGTGCAGTTCCTATCAAAATTCCAATGGCATTTTTTACAGAAATAGATCAATCATTCCTAATGGACACACAGAAGACCCCAAATATTCAAAGCGTCTTGAGAAAGGTGAACAAAACTGGAGGCATCACACTTCCTGATTAAACTTTATTACAAAGCTGTGGTAATCAAACAATATGGTATTGGCATAAGAACAGAGCACAGATCAGTGGAACAAAATAGAGTACCCAGAAGTAAACCCATGCATATGTGGTCAATTAATTCATGACAAAGGAACCAAGAATATATAATGCGGGAAGTGTCTTCAATAAATGGTGGGAAAACCGGAGAGTTACATGTAAAAGAATGAAATAGGACCACTATCTTAAACTATACACAAAAATCAACTCAATATAGATTAAAGACGTGAATGTAAAACCTGAAACCATAAAGCTCCTAGAATAAAACATAGTGGATAAGCTTCTAGACATCAATCTTGGTAGTGCTTTTCTGGATTTGGCTCCAAAAGCCAAAATAAATGGGACTATGTCAATCTAAAAACCTGTGCAACAAAGGAAGTCATCAACAAAATGAAAAGGCAACCTATGAAATGGAAGAAAATATTCACAAATTATATATCTGATAGGAAGTTAATATCCAAAATATATAAAGAATTCATACAGCTCAGTAGAAAAAAAAAATCCAATTAAAAAATGGACAATGGATCTGAATAGACATTTTTTCAAATAAGACATCTAAATGGCCAACAAGTATGTAAAAAGATGCTTAATATCACTAATCATCAGAGAAATGGAAATCAAAACTGCAATGGGATACCACTTTACATCTGTTAGAATGGCTATTATCAAAAATATGAGATAACAAGAAGATATACAGAAAAGGGAACCCCTGTGTACTGTTAGGGAATATAAATTGGTTTAGCCACTATGGAAAAGAGTATAGCAGCTGCTCAAAAAATTAAAAATAGAACTACCATGTGATGCAGCATTTCCATCTGGGCATCTATCCAAAGGAAGTGAAATCACTGTCTTGAAAAGATGTCTGTATCCCTGTGTTCATTGTAGCATTATTTACAATGACCAGGACGTAGTAGAACAACCTATGTCTCCTGATAGATGAATGGATAAAGAAACTGTGGTATGTATGTGCAATGGAATATTATTGAACCATAAAAATGAGGGAAATCCTGCCACTTGCACCAACATAGATGGGACCTGAGTGCATTATGTTAAGTGAAATAAATCAGACAGAGAAAGACAATTACCTTATTATCTCACATTTGTGTGGGATCTAAAAATAACCAAACTCATAAATACAGAGAACAGATTGGTGGTTGCCAGAGGCAGGCATTGCAGAGTGGGTGAAATGGGGGAAGGTGGTCAAAAACACGAACTTACGAGTTAAATAAATCTTAGGGATGTAATGTCGGCGTGGTGACTATATTTAATACTGCTGTATTGTATATTTGAAAGTTTCTAAGAAAGTAGATTGTAAGAGTTCTCATTATAAGAAAAAAAAGTAATAACTGTACAGTGATGGATGTTAACTAAACTTATTGTGGCAATCCTTTCACAATATATACACATATCACATCATTTTTGTACACCTAAAACTAATACAGTGTTATTTGTCAGTTATATCTCAATTAAAAGGAATATGGAAATCTTAAAATAGCTATTGACTCTGTGAATAGGACACAAGAAAAAAAACAATAAAATATAAGACAACTTTAGGTTATTTCAGAGAGTAAAAGTAGTTTAAAAATAAAGTCATTCTTAGGAAGAAGTTTTGGGAAAAGGTTCTTACCTGACTTTTAAAATTTTAGTTGTAAAATTTTAGATTAATCCCTTTGTTTTCAGATGATGAAAATGAGATGTTACCAGGTAAAAGTAACCGCCAATTATTGGTAGAGTATGATTCCAACTCTCATATGAAATCCAGGCCTTCAACTCTTGACTCCTGTCTTCCAGTGCTTTTCCACTGTTCATGTTTCTTATCTAACCACTTGGTTTAAAAGTGGCTTGGAAATTTAGTGATCTCTGAAAGACCTTTCTACTTTTACTTGCCCATATTCTTCAGTGGATCTTTCAGCAGCTAAGCTCTCCAAACTCTCCCAACTGCCATTCATTCGAAACTTTATTTTACTCTAAAATATACACCCTTTTCTGAGAAGCAAGAGCTTAAATGTAAGTCTCATTCAACTCCTGAGTGCTTTTTGTGTTAGACTTTTGAGCATAAATGTTACTGTGCTAGACATTTTTAACACATTTATCTCATTGAAATCTTAGAACTATATGAGATATGAAGAAGCTAAGTTTGAGAAAAAAGATATTTTGGCCATTATTTCGTCAAATTGGCTAATTTGTTCTGATTCCATGTTCAGTACATTTTTCCAGTCTACCACACTAACCATTATTGTAAAAACCTCAGCCAGAGTGCCCAATTTATATAGCAATTGGTAAATCTCTAGTTGTAACAATTTTATTCTAAAACCGTTGTTCACATGTAAGTACAATGATTGAACTTTGTTGTTGAATGTATTTATACCAACTGTTCATTGCAATTTAGTATTCATCCAGTTTCTCTTTCCTTTCAGGCCTGTATGTGGAATCAGAGGGAAAACTCTCATAATTAACCTGCCAGGTAGCAAGAAAGGATCTCAGGTAAGCAACCTTGTGAATACGATTTAGTGTAAAGTTTTAGCCAACTATGAGAGTTAGTCAACCAAAATGTTAGAGGACTCCATGAGACTGCCCTCACTAGTGTCTGACACCAGTTGCAATTTAGTGCATTCCCAAAACCACCCTCAGTTTCAGTAATTCACTAGAAAGACTCACAGAACTCACCAAAAGATGTTAAGCTGACAGTTATGCTTTATGACAGAAAGAATACAGATTCAAGTTAACCAAGAGTAGAAGAGAGGTACCAAATGCAGACCTTCTGTTATCCTCTCCCTATAGAATCATGAATGCATTACTCTCTTGGCATCAGTGTATAACAGCACTGAAAATCAGGGAAGCTCCAAGACTTTAGTGTTCAGAGTTTTTACTGGGGCTCATCACATACTGCCCGTAATGCTGGCCTTTAGTCTCTAGCCCTTTAAGGTTAGGCTGTTTCCTTTAGTCTCCAACATCTACCAGAGGCAAAACTGATACCAGAATGTCCAAAGCCCTCATCATAAATCACACTGTTACACTGTCTGGTAGCCAAAGTTCCCAGGCAACAAAGACACTCCTATCACATCCCAGTAACTGAGAGCTAAGGCCAGACTCTCTTGGAGTAAGGTTAATTCTTCATTGCACAAGCTACCCCCCTGGCTTTTGGCCAAAGCTCTCTTACAGAAAAATGATTGTATTTGTCTGGCTGAGCATCTATATTTACTATAGCATTTATATTACAGATATAACAACAGTATCAGTATGAATGTGTCTAAGATTTAGAGGAGCCAGGGTGGGATAGGGATAAATTTGAGAAATAGCTAATTTATCCTCTAAAGCCTTTATACATATTTCATATTTTTGTACTAATATACTAATTTTTACTTTGATGTGCTGTTTTTATCCTATGATACACTTGCACAGAACTAGTTCCACAGACATTAGCTATCTTGTTTAGGCCAGTCATTTTCCATTGGTATTACATTTTGAGGAGGATTTAACTCAATTTCCCAATACATATGATCATCAATATCAGTATTATAATCTTACTAGCAATGACAGTATTATAACATTTCACAGTAGAGTTGTAGATATAACCTGAAATACGAGTTAAAAGGTAACTGGCACACTACTGGAGTCCTACATAGACATTAACAGTTAGCCTAGTCTGTCATCATATCATATGATCAAAATGTCTCCCAGAACTACACTACTCAGGTTTATGGGCTTGTCAGGTTTCCAAAGCAGTAGTAGTCTCAGCAACATATGGCTTTAACCTTTCTGGCATCTGTTACAACTGAGCTAAGAAACAATATCCTCTCTTGTTCTAAAGATTTTGAGAAACCAATATATTGGATCTCCCTCATTGCATAACCCATTTATTCATTCCTTTACCTCCAGCTATCATTCCTCCTTCTTTCCATTTATACTCAGACTTTTCCTTTGAAACTCTTTTAATGAGACAGTTGATTTGGCCACTGTGCTGGTCCATATTGCCACCAGTAATACTCATTTAACAAGTGCCACCTGCTTAGTCCTTTTCCATTCATACAAGGTAGGGTTACTAGTGAGCAATCTCAAACACCAGGCGATATAACTGCATCCACTGTCAGTCCCAATTTGGCCAGATGGAGTCAGGCATAATCTACCCCATCAGGCCCTTAGGCACTCTGACATAAAGGTTTAAAGGTATAGTTAATAGTTTCTGCTTAAGAATCATCCTGCTTCTGGTATGCATAGTTGTACTTCTGATCCTAGTACCACAGTATCAGGTAGAAAAAAAGAAAGTTGATGTGATGTGCTAAAAGAAAAAGTATAGTCCTAAAGAAAAAAGTATAGTCATACCAGCATCGTGGCCCAGCCCCCTCTTCCCTAGAAAAGTAGAGGACTATATTTAGTGGGGACCCTCCCTTGGCCTCCCTCTTGTTGAATGGACCACACACTAATGAGAGCATATAAGCCATGCTTCTCCTTTTTTAGACAACAAATGTTTCCATAGCCCATTCCAATTTTCTGTCAAATCATTGCTCTGAATATGAAAGTGTGTACTTTGGTCTAAAGAAATATGACTCTGCAGTCATTGGTACAGTATTTTCTGTTTAGTCCTTTTATAGTACGCTGAGTATTTGCATCTACCATTGGGTAAGCAAAGCCCAGTCCAGAGTAAATGTCTATTCCTGTTAGGACTGATTTGTAGCCTCAAGGGACTAGCAGCATCAGTCCAACTTGCTAGCTATATGCAGGACTTTCCCCTATGGAATATGCTGCATAACCTTCTGCTGTCTCTATTTTTTGTTAGCACATAGAACACTTCTCATTGGCATTTTTGTGCCTCAGTGGGTGCAAGAAGAATATATCAATTCAGCCCATATCTGCATCGTTGCAGCCCCCCCATTGCCCACTCATTTCATGGGCCCAGGTGCCATGTCAAGCATGCATACTGGGATATCTGTTCACCAGTTCCAATTAACTTCCATTTCTGAAAGGGGGTTCCTCTGATGGGCATCGATGTATCCTACTTTAACATACCCCTTATATTCCCAGAGTGACTTCCATAGGCCATGCCCCATACAAGCATCCATTTGATAGACCAATTTTCCATTGCCCTTCTGCCTGACCATATGGCCAGGCTACTGGACACTTCCTATGAGTTGGTAAAAACCCAAACATAGGGGCAAACATCATGCAGTTCAGCCTATCGAGCTGATTTGTTTTTACCTTCTTCAATCAGAGTGGCGGCCTTCCAAACAGGATGCTGTCCGTTCACCTTGGAATTGCCATCCATAAACCAAGCAGCATTTTGTTGATCAATAGAAAGCTGTTTATAGGGCACCGCCCAAGTGGCCCAAGTGGCCATAGGATCCAGCAGCTCCTCAGGTGGTTCCGAAGTCGACCCTAGGTGAAAAGAGGCTACCTGCTCGTGAGTACCTCCTTGTATTCTCCTGGTAGCATGATCCTATATGAACCATTTCCATTTTATTATGGAACTCTCCTGGGCATTGCCTTCCCCATTAGAGCATTTCTCTGATATTCCCAAAACATTATGGATATTTCAGGTTTCAAGATTATTTTATGTTCTTCAGTCATAAGGATAGTCTCAATTAAAATCCAATAGCAAGCTAGTAATTGTCTCTCAAATGGAAATTTTCTGGCCCAAAGTCCCAGCAGTTGTTGCTAGGTGGTACTCACAGATTTTTTTCCATAAACCCAGTTTGCACTCCACTCAGGTCTGTTGTATAGCAAATTAATGACCTGTGTGGACTCAGGCAATCTTATTTGTTCCCACTTAGCATATATAATGTATACTGGTGGAAGAGTGGATTTATATGCTTTCTATTTTACAATACTAGGTAAAAGAAAAATTGTCCAGTCAAACACAGTATCCATCCCCATAATACAATCAGGTAAAGGAGACAGATCACTTCATATGAAGTTCACTGTCCAGACATTCTAGTTTTCATCCCAACTTTCACTCTAATTCCATCAACTGTTGCATCCCTGTATCCTTCCAATCTAACTGTACCTCCCATTAGAACTTCAACAGGTATTAGGATCATAGTACATGGTGGATCCCATGTTGAGGAGTCCCAGAAAAGTATCTTCTCTATCCCATGACCATTTTATCCATTTATGTGCATTTGGCCTTGGATTTCTAGGCCTGGTTTGGACCAAGGGATTCACACTCTTTTGTCAGGCCTTATCTTGATTAGATTATAGGACCATCACTTAAGGTGATGCAAGGTGAGGTTTCTTTTAGTTATATTTGCCTTCTAGTTTTTAAAATTCCTTCAGACTAGGGTAAATAGAGATTATTTAGGACCCTTCAGTGTTGGGAGACCAGTGCTCCCATCTGTCTGCTCAACCCACAGTGCTGCTACACTAACACCTTTCTTTTGCCCCCAGCAATACTCACTTTATAAATCCATTTTCTTAATAATTGCTTAAATATTTCTACCCTTATAAGACAAGTCCCTTGAATCTCTCATTTCTTTTGCTCCATTCTCTTATGAATAAGTCTAACTTTATTCACTGTTAATCACTTCAGCATAACATTTTTCTTTGGAAGCAGCTCAGAGGCCAGCAGCTATATGTTAGATCAGCCAAACTCTAAGATTGGCACAACCTTAGGATTCACCCCAACATTCTTCCTTTTGTTTTAGCTAGTGCAAATAACAATAACGAAGAGATTATAAATTTACCTTGTTTCTTTATACATCCAATGACACAACTCCTTAAAAGTTGGATCTTTTATTTCAAAATTCCATTGCTAACTTTTAGCTCCAATAACTAATCACAACACAGCTGCAGTTGCATTCTGTGGGTGACCCTGTGTTTATCCAGCCTCTAAAGATTAATCCTCCCCACCATCTCTTCCTTTCTCTGCCCAGATGATGTTTCATGATCACATGAGTCAGGATCTTTCTAGTGAGTCACACTTCTAACACCAACTGTAAGGAGTTTGGGCCAACTGCAAAAGTTAGCAAACTATAAAGTTGGAGTACTCCACAAGACTTCCTTCACTTCTGACACCAAGTTGCAATTTAGGGAGTTTCTAAAACCCACCCTCAATTTTAATAATTAACTAGAAGGACTAACAGAACTCACTGAAAGCTGCTATACTTACCTTTGTGGTGTATTGCAGGGAAAGAATTCAGACTGAAGTCAGCCAAGAGAAGAAGCATATAGGGCAAATGCTGAAAGGTACCAAATCTGATCATCCTCTCCCATGGAGCCAGGGATAGCATTACCTCTTCTTGACCATAAAAGAGACAATACACATAGAATATCACTAACTAGGCACACTCACCTTTGCCTTTGATGTCCAGAGTTCTTACCGGGACTTGATCCCATATTACCCACATGGTTGACCTTTAGTCTAACCCTTCCCAGAGGGGAAACTTATGCCTTTAGTCTCCAGTTCCATCCAGAGGCAAAACTAATACCATGTTTCCCAAAGTCCTCATAATAATCCACATTGTTAGATTGTCCAGTGGCCAAATCACAGGCAAACAAAGACACTCCTTTTAGGCAAGACCAGGAACTAGAGTTCACCTCCCCAAAGCGGAAAGTAAAGGCCAGAGCTCTCATTGGTCAAGATTAAATTCTTTGCTATATAATCTTTATCACTAAAATGATTGAGCCATATAAAGAGAAGTCAAAAGATCAAGTACCCTTACAGATATTCGCATAACCCTCTGTAAGATATTTTTTTACATCTTAAATTTTAAGGTAAGTTACTTTAAATGTGAAAGACAAAGTCCTCTGCCCCAACATATTCCCCAAACATATTTGGCCCTGTGTTCTGATTTTAAAGTTCTCACCTATTCTCTTTTGGTGATACATTATAGGTAATAGTGGGCACTTGAACAGGAAACTATATTAATTTTTATGCAGTGCTCTGTACAAACATATCTATTTTTGCATATTGCACAGTTTTGCCTACCTACATTTTATGATAATAGTCAGAACCTTAGCTGTCTGAATAAAATAAGTCAGTCCTCAATTGGTTAATTCTAGTGTTCTGCTCTGACTAGAAAGGTGTAAACTGTTTCCTGCCTTTCCCATAATGCATCTTTAAAACCCGAAGTTGTACAGAAATTTTACTTTAAGAAAAATGTACTATGTGCTTATATAGTACTGTAGTTCTACAGCTTACAGAGAATACTATGTACCATGTTTACTTCATATTTCACATTGCAAAAGATAATATTTTCAGTATGATTCATTCTTAAGATATATGGAGAGAAATATAGATCCAAAATCACAAATAAGTTTGATTTTTTACCATTTTATATTCCTATAAAAGTGCTTTATCTTCATTTTTTTTCTTCCTCTTGCATACAGGAATGCTTTCAGTTTATACTGCCAGCTCTACCTCATGCCATTGACCTTTTACGTGATGCCATTGTAAAAGTAAAGGAAGTGCATGATGAACTTGAAGATTTACCTTCCCCACCACCTCCTCTTTCCCCTCCTCCTACAACTAGCCCCCATAAACAGACAGAAGACAAAGGGGTTCAATGTGAGGAAGAGGAAGAAGAGAAGAAAGACAGTGGTGTTGCTTCAACAGAAGACAGTTCTTCATCACATATAACCGCAGCAGCCATTGCTGCCAAGGTAAGCCTGCTGACAGAGACCAAAAGATCTAAAGGAACCACAGGTAAATGTACTGATTTCATCCCTCTTACCATCCAATTTTTTCATAAGTTCAGTACCTTTTCAGGGCATCCTTAAAAAAGAACCAGGATATTCATGACACTCCGTAGCTATGTGCCCTCCATAATGTAGAGTCCTTAAAAGCATTGAAGTTTGTTCTCAGTTCTGAGACATTAAAGATTGCTGTTACCTACTGAAGTAATAGGTAAATAGGTAAAATGTGACATTTAAGAACTCTTTGGAAATGTCATTTTTGTGGTCATATTAAATATACAACGTTTATGTATTTAAAATATCAAATATTCACAAATTCATAAAAGAGCAGCAGACTGCAAGTAAGAGACCTTAGATGACTCAAAAAATTAGTTGAGAAAGATTCATTTTTTTTAAGACAGAGTTTTTCAGCAATTAACACTTATTTAAATGTTCCTTGACCTAAATTACCCTAGTGGTAGAGAGGAAATAGATATAATGTATTTGCATTTTTTATTCAATAAAGTAATAAATATTATTAAGATAGTACCAAAGTATTACAGATTCTCTTTGGGCAATTTTGGTAGTACAATGTACAGAGTACAATGAGGTACTTGCATAAATTTAGTCACCTTAGTCATAGAATATCACTTACCTTTTTAGTCATACCTAGTATAAACCACCCAGTATGCTTTAAAATCTTCACAAAGTAACATATCACTTCTGGGAATAATGATTGTTCACTGACTGAGAGCACAAGATTGAAAACCTAATCTCACTCTATGAAGGAATTCCTAAAGTTTTAGGTTATCACCCAGATATTTTGGCTATGAGCATAGCTTAAGAGGATTTTTGACAACACATAGATTAGAAAGGATCGTAGAAATCTTTTTAAAGTGTCCATTTAGACAACCAGAAGGTAATTCTTTCACTGAAGACCAAATGTCTCCATATCTATTCAGTGGTCCCTTAAGTCTTTACTTAAGGCTAGTAAATATTTAAATTGTATGTGATTTTTGTTTGGTTTGGTTTCATTTTGTTTTTATGGAACTGATTGGTTAAATAGGTACATTTTTAAATCATTACATCTTCTTACTCTTTTACTGTTAATTAAAAGAGTAAAAGATACCATCAATTTCAGTCTTAAGAAAAAGTTTCCAACATTTGAAGTCTAAGCTGATATGGTCATTCTACATTTGAAAAATTTAGGCATTTCATTGTTTCATTTGTTTCACCCTTTTCCTTTCTAGTCATTTTGCTTGTATAGTTTCATGTCTTCCTGTCACTGTACTCATAGTTGTTATGTGTTGTGCATTAGAAGCATCCATTCTACACCAGTCCAGCTGTTATCATGGCACACGGTGAGCAGCCCATTCCTGGTATCATCAATTATTCCCATCATGCAACAGGCAGTACAGATGAACGGGTAAGACAATAGGCTTTTGCGTTGATGGTTTTGCAAGCATATAGCCTACATCCTATTCTTGGAGATAGGCTATAAAATATTATGGAAGATGTGTTTTATTCTGAAGGATTCTGAAGGATCTTCAGCATGCTTTATTTCTAAAAGTGTAATTGCCACTGAGCCTATTCCATCAAGGAATTTAATTTAATAGAGTTTCTCCTATACCTGAAATACTCTAATATCTTTAAGATTCTTAAAATACAAAGAAATTGGTCAAACTAATATTTAATTTCTATTAACCTTCTTTTTGCCTCATAATCTTTCATCTTTCTTTTCCTTCATTATGTTCTCATTAAAACCATTTAGAGAGTTGACTCTTGATACAATTTCTGAGATTACGAATCTTCAGATAAAAACTTGTAAGAATGCATATCACTTGTTTTAATCACTGGATGAATGATAGTTTGTAAATGTTCCAGGGTAGAAAAGATTAAACTGATAAGTATAACTGACTAAACAGTAATAATTTAGATGATGAGTGCCAAAAAAATCTCTCAGTCCCTACTATGGATATAAAATGAGAGGCAGTTGGTTAAGCTTCTGCCTTCAGCTCAGGTCATGATCCCAGGGTCCTAGGATCGAGCCCTAAATTGGGCTCTCTGCTCAGCTGGGGGTCTGCTTCTCCCAATCCCTCTGCCCCAACTCCTGCTCTCTCTCTCTCACATGCTCTCTCTAATAAATAAAATCTTTTAAAAAATTTTAAAAAATGAGAGGCAAAAAAAAAAGAAGTAATAAAGTAAAATTTGGGTTAAAATCCTTAGGGAGATCCAATTAAAAAATGAACAGAAGACATGAACAGACTTTTCTGGAAAGGAGACATCCAGATGGACAACAGACACATGAAACGATGATCAATATCACTTATCATCAGGGGAATGCAAATCCAAACTACATTGAGATATCACCTCACACCTATCAGTAGGGCTAAAATCAGTAACACAAGAAACAAGTGTTGGCAAGGAAGTGGAGAAATAGGAATCCTCATGCAATATGGCAATATAGAGTCTCTAAGGGCAGAAATGAAAGCTGAACTGGCAGAACTTAAAAATGCTATCAGTGAGATCCAATCTAATCTAGATACTCTAACAACTACGGTAAATGAGCCAGAAGAACGAATTTATGAACTAGAAGACCAATTGATAGAAAAGAAGGAAAAAGAGGAGGCCTGGGAGAAACAGCTCAAAATCCATGAAAACAGAATTAGAGAAATAAGTGACGCCATGAAACATTACATTGTCAGAATTATTGGGAGGAGAGAAAGAAAGAGGACTAGAAGATATATTTGAGCAAATCGTAGCTGAGAACTTCCCTAATCTGGGGAATGAAACAAACATTCGAGTCCTAGAGGCAGAAAGGACCCCTCCCAAGATCAAGGAAAACAGACCAATGCCCCGGCATGTAATAGTAAAACTCACAAATCTTAGAAACAAGGAAACCATCTTAACGGCAGTGAGGGGGAAGAGATTCCTTACCTACAGAGGGAGGAATATCAGAATAATGTCAGACCTATCCACAGGGACCTGGCAAGTCAGAAAGGGCTGGCAAGACATATTCAGGGTACTAAACGAGAAGAACATGCAGCCAAGAATACTTTATCCAGCAAGGCTGTCATTTAGAATGGTTGGAGAGATGCAGAGCTTCCGAGACTGGCAGAAACTGAAAGAATATGTGACCACTAAGCCGGCCCTGCAAGAAATATTAAGGGGGGTTCTATAAAAGGAGAAAGTCCCCA